TATGTGACAATAAAAGTTTAATAAAATGTAATAAATGAAAAGCAATCATTTTTTAGCTAATATCTTAAAGAACTTAGTCTATGTCACAGGTCCTCAAACTTTTTTAACAGGGGGCCAGTTCACTGTCCCTCAGACCGTTGGAGGGCCGGACTATAGTTTAAAAAAAATTATGAACAAATTCCTATGCACATGGCACATATCTTATTTTGAAGTAAAAAAACAAACAGGCAAAAACACCTGCATGTGGCCCGCAGGCCGTAGTTTGAGGATGCCTGGTCTACATGTTCACAGAAACATATTATTGGTACTAAATAATTAATTTTTTTTTTTTTTGAGACAGAGTCTCACTTGTGTTGCCCAGGCTAGAAGTGAGTGCCATAGCGTCAGCCTAGTCACAGCAACCTCCAAACTCCTGGCTCAAGTGACCTCCTGCCTCAGCCTTCCCAGTAGCTGGACTACAGGCATGCGCCACCATGCCCGTCTAATTTTTTTGTATATATATTATTGGCAATTAATTTCTTCTATTTATATAGAGACGGGTTTCGCTCTTGCTCAGGCTGGTTTCGAACTCCTGACTTGAGCAATCCGCCCGCCCGGCTCCCAGATGCTAGGATTTCAGGTGTGAGCCACCACGCCCGGCCGATTTATTAATATTTAAAACATTTTCCAAAAATTCTGTTCTGAATAGTTCTAACAACAGAAAAACAGCTCTGACAAATCATCAATGCAAATGAGGGAAACAAATATTAAATACATAAATAAAACAAGACACTTAAAGAAGTCACATTTTCTGTTCCTCTTATATTCATTCCCCTCACTCCCCAAAGCAAACCAAAATCTGAATTTGGCAACTATCTTTCCAGTTCAGTTTTAATACTTTTACTACCTACATATGTATCCATAAATATGCAGTATGGATTTGTGTTTATTAAATGTAAAAAATGGTATCATAGTGTATTACACATACAAATGTTCCATGTCATAGGTTGTACTTCTAAATCCAACCATCTGCTATAATGGAAAATCAACTGAGAAAATGTGGATAACTCCATACAAGATACTACTACAATTCTATAAATAGAAAATCTCTCCTGGGTCACTAGCATTATTTTTTAATTTCTGAGTTTTCATTTATACTAATCATATCTGTCTGGTTTATTATGAGAAATTTTTTCAAAGCTTATATTTCTTAAAAGAATAAGACAACATTCTATATATAGTTCTGAAGTATTAAAATATTATATTACAGCAAGGGTCCTCAAACTTTTTAAACAAGGGGCCAGTTCACTGTCCCTCAGACCGTTGGAGTGCCGGACTATAGTTTAAAAAAAAACTATGAACAAATTCCTATGCACACTGCATATATCTTATTTTGAAGTAAAAAACAAACAGGCAAAAATACCCGCATGTGGCCAGAGGGCCGTAGTTTAAGGATGCCTGTATTATAGGATAGAAAATCTCTGAAGGATGAATAAGATATTGAACTCAGGCTAAGGGAACCACAGAGCAGGAGAACAGGAGAGAAACAGAGACTTGCTTTTCATGAGTAACCTGTAATACCTTTTACATTTTATACTGTGTGTATCACTCCCTATTTATAAAATGCATCTTAAATATAGCAAATAGTCCAAGTACAGATGAAATAAGCCAGTTAAAATTTTAGATTTTTTAAGAAAATTTTTGTAAAAAAAGTCTCCTATATGTGTAATTGAAATGGCAATCTAATTTACTAATAATGTAAAGTTTCCAGTTTAAATTTGAATCCTGTTAAAACTGCATAACAACTATCACATCTGAATAGCAATATATAAAGCCAAAACCACTCATTTAAAAACAAACACAACTTGGAATGACAAACAAAAATGGTATAGGACTTTATCTTACATGATGTTATATAAGTTACATACTGTTTAAGTGAGCAGTTTCATTTCAAATAAATGTTTCATTTTGATTTTCTTTCATATAGTATATATTTTTTATTAAGAAACCAAACCATCAAAAAGAAAAAAAATCAGTCTGGATATTTTTTTTCTCTACATTCTATAATCTTAAGGAATGAAAATGGCAAATAACCTAATATTAGAGATCTCAAAACCACAAATTTCAGTACCCTCACAAAGTCAGTATACAGTTATTCAAATCTCACAGCTCTTTTTGAATAGCTTACTAAAGCGCCTTATTTCTCTGAATACCTATGATATGTTCCTGCCATCATCCACCAAAACACTGTAAGTAACTCTCCTTTGCATTTATAATCAGCCTTGTAGCAGGCTTACTTAAATACTTCCCCTATCCTCCTTCTAAAATGTAAGCTTATATTTTTTGAAAAACTTGAACACATTACTTGGCACAGAGTAAATACTGCCCAAAAAACTTTCTGAATTGTTCTCAATAATCTTTTGGCACCACACAAGCCTGAATTACTTCAATATTTTATATCTCAAAGAGTAACTTCAAGAAAATTTTTAATTTTCTTACATTTTAATTCTTTAAAAGAATCTCTAACAAGTAAAAGGTTAAGTATCAGTTAACCAGACTATTCAATGAATTAGTACTCAATTTCAAAGCACTTTTCCTAAATGAACTTTTAATATTTTTGAAAATAATATTAAATGAAATTCTTTTAAAAAATGAAAATCATGGCCATGCACGGTGGCTCACACGTGTAATCCTAGCACTCTGGGAGGCTGAGGTAGGAGGATCACTTGAGGTCAGGAGTTTGAGACCTGCCTGAGCTAGAGTGAGACCCCCTCTCTACTAAAAATAGAAAGAAATTAGCTGGACAACTAAAAATAATAGAAAAATTAGCAGCATGGTGGTGCATGGCTGTAGTCCCAGCTACTTGGGAGGCTGAGCAGAAGGATGGCATGAGCCAGGAGGTTGAGGTTGTGAGCCTAGCGTAACGCCAGCAGACGCGTGAGCCCGGCCAATAGAGTGAGACTTCTGTGTCCAAAAAAAAAGAGACGAAAAAAGAGAAATGCTGAAGAGAGCTAGCTAGAAGATTATCAAAACAATAAATTTTAGCATTGAAATACTACATAATTCATCAAATGTGTACTCAGAGATGAAAATTCGCACATTTCACTATATGACATAACTACTATAAAATGAAGTTTAGGAGAGGGGTTGTAAAAACACTTTAACTTATAAGTACAATATCTATTTCACTAAAATGACATAAAATTAGTTATTTAAATAAATACATAGCAATTTTTCACAGTGATTAAGATAAGAATCAAACTGGAAGAAAGAAAAAGGGAAGAATAAAAAAGAAGGGAAAAATTAAGACTTGAATTTATAAAATGGCAGGAAAAATAATGAGAAACATTAGTACTAGAACTTTGTACAAAGCCACTAACATCAAATCAAACAAAATACATAGAACTGGCAGAACATGGCTGATTAAATATATTAACAAGAGCATTAAATAAGCAGAAAGGCCAAGGAAAATTTCTTGGGTTTTAAAATGAGAATCTTGTGAACACTGCATCAGATACACCAGTAAAACTGTTTTCAATTTCAGTAAGACTGTTTTCAATTTCAGTAAACCTAGAATTGGTGACACTGGGCTATCATAAGCATGAAATATGTGCACAAGAGGACACAGGATGTTTCTTTTTTTTTTGAGACAGAGTCTTGCTTTGTTGCCCAGGCTAGAGTGAGTGCCATGGCGTCAGCCTAGCTCACAGCAACCTCAAACTCTTGCTCAAGCAATCCTTCTGCCTCAGCCTCCCAGTAGCTGGGACTACAGGCATGCGCCACCATGCCCGGCTAATTTTTGTATATATATTTTTAGTTGGTCAATTAATTTCTTTCTATTTTTTTAGTAGAGACGGGGTCTCGCTCAGGCTGGTTTCAAACTCCTGACCTCGAGCAATCCGCCCGCCTCGGCCTCCCAGAGTGCTAGGATTACAGGCGTGAGCCACTATGCCCGGCCAAGACATAGTATGTTTGCACATGTGCACACAAATGTGTGAGTCTTTGGTGATTTTGCACACAAAGTGGCCGATCACATGACCAAATTCCATGATAGCAAACAGTAAAAGAAATTATTGGGGCTGGGCACGATGTCTCACACCTGTTAACTCTAGCACCCTGGGAGGCCAAGACAGGAAGATAACTTGAGGTCAGGAGGTCAAGACCAGCCTGAGGAAGAGCGAGACCTGGCTCTACCAAAAACAGAAAAATTAGCTGGGCATGGTGGCATGCACCTGTATTCCCAGCTATTCGGGAGGCTGAGGCTGGAGGATGGCTTAAGCTCAGGAATTTGAGGTTGCTGTGTGCTATAATGACACCACTGCACTCTAGCTCAGGCAAGAGAGTGAGACTCTGTCTCAGAAAAAGAAAGAAAGAAAGAACTTACTGGGTCCATCAGTTAGCAGCCCTAAGCCCTCCTAAAATTTCATATTTCTAAAGTACTAGCTATTCATTTGACATTATGGCCTAAATTAAAACACATCACAAAGAAAGCAATCTGCTTCTACAAAGTTATGGATAAAACTTTCCAAAATCATAATCAGTGACTGTGACACTTTCTCTCCCTTGTCACAATAATTTTTTTATTTAAACAACCTCCATTGGTAAGTACTGAAAAGTTATTTTGCCTTTACCAAAGTACACATTTATTGTCTTTTTGCTCAGATAATAAGATTGTAGAAAGTCTCTGGAGATATTTAAATTATTTTAAAACATAAAATTGAAACTTCATTCAGTAAACATTTTCTAACCTGCCACTATGTTTCAGGAAGAAGCCACACCATTTAGGAGACACTAACAGGAAAAATACACTATATACATCTTCTATTTCTACGTGCCTGCCAGTAAATGCTCATAACTATGCCTAAATGTTGTATGTTACTATTATTTTAGTTTTAAAATTGAAACAGTTTTGTTAATTCTCTTATCATATTTTAAGTTGCTCTAGATTCCATGTATACTCCTGATAGCAACATAACTTGGGTCTACCACAGTGAAATAATGTTTTATATAAATCAACTTACACTACAGTTTTCAGGTGGAACTAGAAGTTGAGTAATCTCGCCACCATGAACACAGAAGATATGCTTCATTTCTCCAGAAAATATGTCCCAAATTATGACTGAAAAATCCACACCTCCAGATATCAGATATCTCTGATCATACCGAGCTGAGACCTGATGAGGATATAGCAAACATGTGACTTTGTTCCGATGACCACGGAGTGTTCTGTGAGGTGGCCAACCTGTGAATAAGGTTTTGGATTTAAAATGGGAAAATTAAAGACTTATAAAGTTTCGACAAGTAAAAGCAAACATGAATTTTCAAAATAGCTATAAATTTTATCGCAGAAAAGGCTTCCAATTTTATCTTCTAAGTCTACTCTATCCAATACAGTGGATACTAGCCACATGAGACTACCAAGCATTTGAAATGGGGCTATTCCAGACTCAAATGTATTGTAAATCTAAAATAATCATGAAATTTTAAAGACTTACTACAAAAAAAGGTAAACTATTCCATCAGTAATTTTCATATTGACTATAAGCTGCAATGAAAATAGTTTTGCTATATTGAGTTATATAATATACATTATTATAGTTAATTTCACTTGCTTCATTTTCCTTTTTAACGTGGCTATTAGAAAATTATATATATGGTTACATATATGATTCACGTTAGATTTCTACTAGATGGCACTATTCTAGATGACTATAGGTATTACTGGTAAATATATTACTTAGTTATCTATAGAAATAACTAATAATAGATGGAACTATTAACATATATCAAAAGAGATAAAGTTGGATACCTCCTTATTTACAATCATCACATGATATTAATTCTAATAATAGGCATTGAATATTATATTATTCGCACATTAAACTCTATCAACTACATAGCACACTAACTGCTACACTAATTCATTTTATTTGTGAAAAACAGAGAGTAGATACATCTTCATTATCAAGGTTACAGAGTTCTCAAAACACTTCTGACAAGAGTAGATCTTCGGTATACCTCTTCTAAGCATGTGTTCCCCTTGCAGCAGCTGTACTATGGCCGTCTGTGTGGCAGGTACAATAACTATGCTTCCATCTTCACGGCCACAAACAAGTCTTCCGTGTGCTGGTATGTACACACTTGCAGTTACTTTGAGAGGTTCATTACTATTAGGAATCACACTCAGTTGATCTATAATTCCAGCAGGAAAAGGATTCAGTTTATCAAATGCCTCTTGCAAACTAATAGAAGTTGTCATTTTGAGCCCTGCAGGTTTTGTTTTGTATAAAAGAAAAACATTGGTCTATGTTAAAAAAATTTAAAACATTAAATAACATTTGTTAATTCAGTAATATGTCGAAAAATTAAAATTGTAAACAAATATAATTTTTAGAAGAAAATGATGCATATACATTATGAATTTGTTATTTAGTAGTTAGTATTTAAGATGTTAAATTAAAAGAATTAAGAAATGGCTACACATCATCTACTACTACCTTCATCACCTTCCTGTTTATCAGGTGTGTCTGATATACTCCAAATATTCAATCTTCCAGAAGAATCACCCTGAATTAATAGTTTATGGAAATACTCCCTGCATCCATAGAAGAACCGAGTAACAGGAGGACAAATTAGCAACTGCCAAAAAAAAAAAACCATTTAAATACCTTTAGCTAAATTTTTAATCAATATCTCACACATTAACATTTTTTTCAAATAAAGACATTAGGTAATTTGCCTCAGCAGCCAAGTTTAAAATATGTTTACAGTATGATTATGCAATAATATTTTAATGTAATTAGTAGCATTAACATACATGTTAACTAATGCTGAGATCTATTATATTAAACATTAAAGAAAACAACCACTTATAGTCTTTCTCTAAAATCAGTATGTATACTTTTTCTCTGCTTTATAAAAACGTACTAGCCAAAACAATGCAATTGATTTAATTGCCTATTTATTAAACAATTAATACAGAGATATGGCACTCTTTACTCAAAAGAAAAGTCTGTACTTAAAAGGTTACCCTGTCTCTACTAAAAATCAAAAGAAATTTATTGGCCAATTAAAAATATATATATAGAAAAAATTATCCGGTCATGGTGACATGCCTGTAGTCCCAGCGAGTTGGGAGGCTGAGGCAGAAGGATTGCTTGAGCCCAGGAGTTTGAGGTTGCTGTGAGCTAGGCTGACGCCATGGCACTCTAGCCCGGGCAACAGAGTGAGACTCTGTCTCAAAAAAAAAAAAAAAAAAAAAGAAAGAAACTATATATAAAGCATAACCAACTGTTTGATTTTAAAGTCTAAAAATTATTAAAAACTTTAATTGATAAACTACATACTTAACAAGGAGAATTTGCTACAGCAACTATAATAACCAACATTCTACATTTCAATGTATCTATCATATCACATAATATATATTTTTAAATTTAAAATGTATTAGAGAGCTGATATTTAAAGAAAACTGATATGCATGGTTTTTGCTTTGTTTCATGTATTTTTTTATGCAAGTCATTATCCCTTAGGTTAACTGGATGTAACTGTCTAAGTTGAAGAGCTGTAAGTAGAAGTTTAAGTGAAGAGAGTATAGAGTAGGCAACCTATCAAGGATCTTAACTATACCTAGATGTATAAATTCTGTGTATTCAAAATATTCATGGAAAAACAACTCCCTTCCTCTCACCATCCCACAACATAAAGATGGGACACAATGTTCAGAATGATAAAGCAGTGGAAACCCAGAACATCAGTAAAGAAAACTTTACTTTCAAAACCAAAGCCACTTTCTTACTGCCCAATATAGAGTTGAAAACCCAATACTAAGTGATGTCACATTTCAACATTAAAGGTATATTAAGCAGGTTTTTAGAAATGACAATAAACTTTTGCTTTTATAAAGAAAAATGTTTTATTCTTCATTTCTACTATCTAAAGATATAAATTGCTACATGATTTTGGGGAGATACTGCAATGCCTTGTTCAAGTAATGAACTATTATAAGTCAGCATTATTATACAATTACCTCTACCTTTCTAAAATTATATCTGTCACTATGTTTATAATTGCATAATAGTGTATAAATTTAGACCACCAGGAGGAATGTTATTAGAAAGTCAATTCCAATATGCAATCAGCATCTAATCACTAGTACTATTAGAGAAAGGTGTAGGTATATTATTTATTTTTAAATAAGCAAATTTTAAAATGTATTTATAATTGACCATATCAAAATGTTTTGCAACATCTAACACAGTCCCTTGAATTGTATTAAATCTTTCAAATGCTTAACTACCAAAAGACATAAATAAATACAGTTGTGAAATATTTTCAATGTAACCATCAATTATAAATGATACCTGAAGAATTTTACCTCTTTATCTTTTCGATCCAAGAGGCTATGTTGTACTGGAGGAATTAAATTTTCAACTGCTTTTCCCACATCACTGCGGAATGAATCACTAGCTGGAAGGCAACTGAAAATGGGAAAAATACAACATTCAATTAAAATACTGACAAATTCTTCCAAGCAAGGAGCTAAAAAAAAAAAAAAATCTACATTAAATATTTTATCATTCCATATGACAACATTTCTTGAAAATGGACAAAAAAAATGGGTTTTTAATTATAGTTAATTTAATGTAAATATTTAAATTAAATGATATAAAAATATTCTCCTTCAAATAAAAATTTACCTAATTTTTGCACTTGAAAGTTAAATTGGCATTACAAATTTAACTTAACAAGTTCTAAATTAAATATTTATACTATATACATTTGCATAATTTGATCCCAAATTCTGAATCTTTTGCTTTTGATGAAAGCCCTAATTCATTACTTATCACATACCTGGCAGGTAGCTTATAGATATAACTTTGTCCATTTTCAGTCCAAATGATTACTTTATCTGCTGATACAAAGTCCCCTCCAGTCCACGTCTGTCCATTTTCACTAGGACCTGAACACAGCAGGGAATAGTCTCCAGCATCAAATACCTACAAAGAATAAGAATTCACAATCTACTCCATGTTCCTGTAATTTAAGTAAGATACAGTGACATTTCAACTTTAAAAAAAAAAAAAGGTTCTGGAAATATATTTAACAAATTCAGGTCTTTAAAGTTCACAGCTTCCAATGAAGACAGTTGATCAGTGAGCCCTGGGGCATGGTCATCTTAAATAAAGAAAACATAACTAGGCCCCAGCTATGTGCAACCTCCCTATGAACAAGCAACAGACTATGACAAGTAGAGCTGGAGTGCTCTTCTACACAGGGACAGTAATCCTTAGACTTTCTTATATAGAAGGAAGAAGTACTCTATCAAAGAATGGCAATAGGGAATCAACCTCTGGAATGCAGGCTTATGAGTCCTGTTTTATTTCTATGTCCAGGAAAAAACATTTCTAACAGTAAACGCTGATATCAAAATAACTCTTATTAATTAAGGGAATTACTTTGCTTTACCTTATCTTGTCAATGTTCTAAAACACTACAAATAGAAGTTAAGAGACTCACTTTTATTATTTGGTCATTATCACACAAACTTCAAGTCCCTATAATTTTTTTCCTTTTTTATTTTATTTTTGAGAGACAGCGTCTCACTCTGTTGCCCAGGCTGGAGTGCAGTGGTGCAATCATAGCCCACTGCAACTTTGAACTCCTGGGCTCAAGCGATTCTCCTGACTCAGCCTCTCAAGGAGCTAGTACTACCAGCAAGTGCTACCACACTTTGCTAATATATATATATATATATATATATACACACACACACATATACACACACACACACACACATACACACACACACATATGTGTGTGTGTGTGTGTATGTGTGTGTGTGTATATATATTGTGTAGAGATGGTTTCTCTCTATGTTGCTCAGGCTGGTCTTGAACTCCTGGTCTCAAGCAATCCTACTGCCTTGGCCTCCCAAAGTGCTGAGATCACAGGCATGAGCCACCATGTCTGGTCTAGTTCCTATAATTTCACCAGCAACAAAACCTACTGACCTTATCAGGGCTTACATTTGTAAGGAACATCTTTACAAACCTCCTTTACAATCATTATCTTATATGACCCTTAGAATTACTGCAGGGGATAGATAGGCCTTATTACTACTCTACTTAATGGACAGGAAACTGACACAAATAAGGATTTTATCAACTGCTCAAAGCCATGTGTCCAGGAAATGATAAAGCTAGGACTAAAATCCCTAGTCTTATAATTTGTAACAGAATTGTTCTTTCTACTACTTTCAATATTTGCTAAAAGTCCATCCTATATTGTCAGAAAACCTCCCGAGAAGACACAAGTAATTCTTCATTCTTCAATGGCTTGGTTTTAATTTTATTTTTCTTTAAAGAAAACAATGAAGTTGTTTGTGTAAAGCCTTGAAGTTAGAACAAATCCTAGCTGAATTTAACATGATTTGCTATAATATTTAACATTATATAACATTAGCACTACAGTAATAGCCAAGAAAAGTCCAAGAAAGAACAATGGAAACGGGCCGGGCGCAGTGGCTCATGGCTGTAATCCTAGCACTCTGGGAAGCCAAGGCAGGCGGATAGCTCGAGGTCAGGAGTTTGAAACCAGCCTGAGCAAGAGCAAGACCCAATCTCTACTATAAATACAAAGAAATTAATTGGCCAACTAATATATATATAGAAAAATTAGCCGGGCATGGTGGCACATGCCTGTAGTCCCAGCTAGTAGGGAGGCTGAGGCAGAAGGATTGCTTGAGCCCAGGAGTTTGAGGTTGCTGTGAGCTAGGCTGATGCCACGGCACTCACTCTAGCCTGGGCAACAAAGTGAGACTAAGTAAGTAAGTAAGTAAAGTCAGTAAGTAAGTAAATAAATAAATAAATAAATAAATTGGAGACCAGCCCTTTAGTCCTATTATCTATTAAAACAAACTAAAGCTATATAAGTTAAAACAATACAATATTAATCCATGAATTGATAGACAAATCAGGAAGTTTGGAAACAGATTCCAATAATTTAGGAATATAGTACATTATCAAGGCACAACAACAAATGAATTATTCAATAAATGGCATCAAGAACCATCCTACCTAGAATAAAAATAAAGTTGGATCTACATCTCACAATTTATACAAAATAAATTCCAGATTAAAGATTCAAAGGTATATAAGATAAAATCATACAAAATGGGGAAAGGAAAATTTTTAAAAATTTTCAGCTTATGGTAAACCCTTTTAAAACATGTCACAATTATTTTAGAAACCATAAATAATTTGATTATGAAAATTGAAAACTGTTTACAACAATAAGTACCCAAAAAAATCATTCTGGTGGGTTGTAGTACTATCTCAGTATTGTTTTAATATGATGATTAATGAAGCTAAGCACCTTCCTATAAATTTACTGGCCATCTGGCTTTTCTCTTTTATAAAATATTTGTCTGTTTTCCTATTGGATTGTCTGTATTTGTCTTCTTGATTTGTAGGGTTTTTTAAAATAATACTGAACAATCCTTCCTATTATGTGTATATTGTAACTATCTTCTCTCACTATGTGGGTTGCCTTTTCACTCTTACATATGCATTTTAAAAAGAAAGAAGAAAAGGCTACCCACATAATTATAAAAGGCTTATAATGGACACACAAGAAACTGGTATTAGATGCTACTACTACCTCTAAGAGGGACAGGGAAGCGCCAGGGAAAAAGGTATGCAGGAGGCACACTTTTCACTGTATCCTCTTGCACTATCTTTTATTACTATTTGCACGTATTTTAAATTTTAAGACAAAGGAAGGACCCTGTTGTAGCCTGTTCTAACCAAGCAACTGCTAGCTTTTCCTCTCCAAACTTATTCTAAAAGAGTAGCAGTGACAAGGAAAGGTTAAGATGCTTCTTCCCTGATCAAGTCCTTCCACCGTATGGCCCAGTCCCCTGCCCTGTAGGCTCAAGAAACCAGTCCACTCCATGTTCTAGGCACGGAGTGAGGCAATACAACAGAGTAATAATGAGAGCAGCTGCTGTAATCAGACTACCAGAGCTGTAACTCAGCCAACTCCACTAATACTTGTACAACCTTTGTGAAGTTATCGGTCCCCCCTGCCTCAGTTTCCTCATTTGTAAAATAGGGAAAGTAACAATTCCTACCATGGTAAGCAGACTCTAAGATGGTCCCACCAGAATCCCAAATCCTGGTATTCATACCCATGTGTAATTCTCCCCCCCTCTCTTGAGTGCAGGCTGGATTTTGTGACTGTTTCAGAGAATAGAATGCAGCAGACTTGACAAGATCTCAATTCCAAGATTAGGTAGGTCTTGGGTACACCTTCTCTTGCTTATTTACTCAGAGGAAGAACAACAAGGAACTAACGTCTCCAGCCAACAGTGAGTGGGTCCCAAGGCCTGCCAATGCCACATGTGGGAGTTTGGAGGCAGATTCTCCATGAGTTGAGCCTGGAGATGAGACTGCAATTCTGGCAGATACGTTGATTGCAGCCTTGTTAGATATCCTGAGCTACAGGTACCCAGCTAAGCCATGCACAGATTTCTGACTCATAGAAAATAGGTGGTAATTCATATTTGTTGTTTTAAATCTCTAAGTTTGAGAGTAATTTGTTATGCAGGTTTAAATAACTAATCTACCTATCCTCAGAGAGTCGTGAGGATTAAAATAAATAATACATGCAAAGCTTTGGAAAAAGTGCAAGGCAGAGAACAACTGATCAAAACATGCTATTTTCCTATTATTGAAATATTAAAGTCTTGCAATGTGGAAGTAATATACTTCGCCCATCATTACCTCTGAAGTGACAAAGGAAGACCTTCCCAATTCTAAGAAACCAGGAAAAAAAAAAAAGATAACTGGGTATAATAACAGCCTACAAAGAAATACCCAACTTTCAGAAAACTTACTACCACTGTTTATGTTATACTGATAAAATCATGACTAAAACAGTAGCAAAAAGTAGAATGAAGATCAATATAGTCACAAATGGAATCATTCCATGAACCAAAATTAAAAAAGACAACTTATGTATAGCCACATCCCAACTCTTCAAAATATGGTATCAAAACCAGACAAGAATTCTGGCCAGGTGCGGTGGCTCACGCCTGTAATCCTAGCACTCTGGGAGGCCAAGGCGGGGGGACTGCTCGAGGTCAGGAGTTCAAAACCAGCCTGAGCAAGAGTGAGACCCCGTCTCTACTATAAATACAAAGAAATTAATTGGCCAACTAATACATATAGAAAAAATTAGCCGGGCATGGTGGCACATGCCTGTAGTCCCAGCTACTCGGGAGGCTGAGGCAGCAGGATCGCTTGAGCCCAGGAGTTTGAGGTTGCTGTGAGCTAGGCTGACGCCATGGCACTCACTCTAGCCTGGACAACAAAGTGAGATTCTGTCTCAAAAAAAAAAAAACAGACAAGAATTCTAAATGCCTAAAATAGTCTGGCACCAAACACTTCCTTAGGATTATCTTTGGAAGTCTTATAAACCAATTATCTTGAAGGATATAAAATACAGATTCTTATATATACGTAGTTATCTTACCCTCCAATATTTGGAACACACAACCAAAAGTGACCTTTGTGTGAATGCACAAAAAGAGATGCTTTGGCAATTCTGACAATAAATTGGTTTGGATTCCTCCTCAAATATTGGCTCAGTATCCTGAAAAGAGAAAGATTTGTAAAACTTTAGGAATATCTCAGTTGTAGATTAAAATTATCACACAAAGATAAAGACAACAAAATGAAATAAAGGCACCATTTGATGTGTTCATCATTTTAGTCCCTCAGGTAAAAGCCAAGGTAGTAAAAAGCAAAAATATACCCTAGAAACAGCTGGGCACACGTGTTGTAGCTACAAAGATTCTCAAGATTTAAATCCTGATGAGAATTAGAGTGTCATCACTCTGGCAATGACAGATGATAAAAGTCTGCATTAATCCTAATTTATGTAGCTATTTGTGCTTTTGTTTAAATTTTTTTAAAAAAACTACTCAATTCATCTAGCTTCTCCCAGATTCGAAGCCTAAAAATTCCCAGCTTGAAGAGGGTAGTATCAACATTTTCAGAAACTTGATCTTTCCCACTCATAGAAAATAACAAGGAATTCAAGAAATGAGACAGAGGACTAAAAATGGCTCTGTATATTTTTTATGGTGGTTTGTATTTTTTTTTCTTTTGAGTTAGTTTAAACAGAAGCAGTAGAGGAAAACCCCACCTCTTTTGTGTTTCTCCTCTTCATATCCTGTGCATTATGTTTCTCTATTTTATATTCTCGATAGAACAGATGTTGCCATCAAAAGTGAAAAAAATACTTCACTCACACAGTCGGCATACTAGAGGATCTTCTATACTACGTCTATAAGAAAACTATTGAAAGAGAATAACTTCTTCCTTCCCCCTTCGGAAAGGGAGGGGCATATCATTATTAAAATTTCAGATTTTATTGCATAAGAATAAAAATGGAGATATCATTCCCGGTCTCCTCCATCTTACCTGCATGCCACTTAGTTCAGAGGTAACTATCCACACCTTTAGGATGCCTGTCACAGAGAGTGCTACCACAGTGTCCTCTAAACCAAGAAAAGAAAAGCAGCCCAGGTTACGAACACGATGCTTTCTTTCAAAACATTAAGATGGTTCACTTAAATGAAATTAAAAAATTGGATGTTTCATAATTTGCATAAAATCATAATTCTCTATTTTCTAAAACGGAAAATCAATTTTGAGACATAGGTTAATAAAGATTACCAACAATTTAAAATTCAAAGAAAGTTGTTTCTAGCTATTTTGAATTTATTTTTTTTATTTCTAATCAATAGGTTTTCAGTAATTTCAAATGTTTTTCATTACTATGTTAAGAAAGAACTTTTATTCTTCAAAACTCACAAATTTCAACTATTTATCAGGGAAGAACACAGTTGCTTTATTTCTTCGAGGCACTCATCTCCTTCCCTTTCCCAAGTACCGTGCCTGCCTTCCAGACATTGTATTGTGCAGTACATCCTCCACAGATTATGATCAAGAGAAAGACATGATATGAAACCTAAATTCATTAAGTTTGGGCTAAGGGATCTGTCATGGTAACATATGTGCGCTTTGAGAAGATGAACATCAGAAAGCAGTCTAATGCAGGCTCCAGAGTGGGAGATTTGTCTATTAAAATCAAAATCACATTTTTTTCTCTAATTAACCAATGAACTGTGAATAACTTAAATAACTGATCTCAAATTCAATTTGCTTATTTGGAAGCAAATATAAATGAACAACAATAGTACCTACTCTAATGGGTTATTATAAAAATAAAATTATACACCACAGGTATAGCACTCAGCACATGCTAAATACTCAATAAAGGTTAGTTATTATTGTTATTAAAAGAACTGTTGGCTGGGCATGGTGGCTCACACCTGTAATCCTAGCACTCTGGGAGGCCAAGGTGGGCGGATTGCTCGAGGTCAGGAGTTTGAAACTAGCCTGAGCAAGAGCGAGACCCCATCTCTACTATAAATAGAAAGAAATTAATAACTAATATATATATATAAAATTAGCCAGGCATGATGACGCATGCCTGTAGTCCCAGCTACTCGGGAGGCTGAGGCAGAAGGATTGCTTGAGCCCAGGAGTTTGAGGTTGCTGTGAGCTAGGCTGACGCCATGGCACTCACTCTAGCCTGGGCAACAAAGCGAGACTCTGTTTCAAAAAAAAAAAAAAAAGAATTGTTGGTTATCTTTAAGTAAAAACTTTACCATATTGCATAGTTCCCTAGGAAACATTGGCATTGGAATGCACTGATTACCACATTTCCATGATCCCTGTACAGAGAACTTATAGCAACATACCAATATATCTAAAATTCTCAAACATCCATAGACTAGAAAATAGTAAGTGCAGATTAAAATTACATATTTGCAACATTATAAATCGATAACATCTAGAATTATAAGGACTACACAACATTTTCTGTTAGATTCTATTCTGTTCAGACAACAGTTTATACATATATGGAGTGAATGTAAAAATTCAAAATGTGCAAACTGCTTAGTCACAAAGATCTTTTTTAAAGAAAGCACTGATTTTAACTGATATTAAATATATATATAATGGGCTTCCCATTGCCTGGAAAATTAAACTGAATCTTATTTTCACTGTTATACTCAGGAATAAAAGAATTCTCTAATATGCATAAAAAACCTCTCTGAGATAGTCTCACATTAAAGAAACCTGCTCAATATTATTTTATCAAACATATCCCAATTATATTTGATTAGAGAGTCCTCCTTTTTCACTAACACCTATTAACAAACTTCAGAACCAATACTCTGAAGAATAGCAGGTGGGAAATGTAAAGAGTCCATCCACTCCTTTCCCTCAGTCATTGCTTTAGTTCAGACCTGGACCACTCTCAGCTGGCCTATTATAATAATCTCCTAACTGGTTTGTTCTCATCTATTCTCAACAATGCCATCAAAGTGATATTTTAAAACATAAATCCCTTCTGGCATTCTTTTTCTCTTCTTCTTTACTTTTTCCCTCCCTCCTTCCCTTACTCCCTTCCTTCCTTCCTTCCTTCCATCCTTCCTTCTCTATATATTTAATTTTTTTTGAGACAGCTCTGTCACCCCACCTAGAGTACAGTGGCATCATCATAGCTCACTGCAACCTCGAACTCCTGGGCTGAAGCAATCCTCCTGCCTCAGCTTCCACCAGAGTAGCTGGGACTGCAGGTGCACACCATGACACTTGGCTAATTTTCTCTTTTTAGTAGAGACAGTGTCTCACTCTTGCTCAGCCTGGTCTCAAACTCCTGGCCTCAAGCAATCCTCCCACCTTGGCCTCCCAGAGTGCTAGGATTACAGGCGTGAGCCACCTCGCCCAGGCCCTTCCAGCATTCTTACCAGACACCACCCATCATCCACACTGGGAGCCAGCAAGCTACAGCTGTGGGTCAACTCCAGTGCACTGGCCGTTTTTGCAAATGAAGTTTTATTAGAACACAGCCAGGCTCATTCATTTACATACTATCTATGGCTGCTTTTGTGCTATGCTACAAGAGTAGAGTTGAGTAGTTGAAACATTGACTGTGTGGCCTCCTGAGCCTAAAATACCTCGTACCTGGCCCTTTACAGTACAAGTCTGCCACAGGGTGAATTCCTTGACACACAAGGGCCTTCCTGACCTGTTCCCTGCCAACTTTGCCAGCTTCATATCCCACCACTGTTCTCAGACTTCCTGCCCCAGAAAGAGATAATTTATAGTTTCTCACACATACCTATACTTTTTAATGCTTTTGCACCTTTGTATAACTCTTTCTGGAATCTGGCAGAAACATCTTGATTCCCACGTCTGCCAGACAAACTCCTCCTCATCTCCCAAATCCTAGATCAGACTTCATCTGATCTGGGCAGCCGTCCTACTGCCCTCAAGCCCTTCCACTGCTTTCCTCTCTGTCCTATTTCTCCACCTTGCATACTTTACGCTTTGAACTGTCATTTGTCTATATTACACATCATTCTAGATCAGGGGTCCTCAAACTTTTTAAACAGGGGGCCAGTTCACTGTCCCTCAGACCGTTGGAGAGTGTACACTGTGGGCCCAGGACAAGTCAGCTGCTAAGGAGGACAGGCAGCGGAGGCAAAAACACCCAGAGGGCTGGATAAATGTGCTAGGCGGCCCGTAGTTTGAGGACACCTGTTCTAGATGATGTATAAACATACTACTAGAATTTGAGACCCATAGATATTTTCAATCCCCTGCACCTGGAAGATAGTAGGCGCTCAATAAATAGTTGCTGAATGGCTACTGAATAAAAAGCTATGAGCTAATTTCCCACCCTAAGAGGTTACAAAGGAAAGTTCCCATAAATTGAAGGCAATTCACTAATGGGAAACGATGCTAACACAATGGTTAACATAACAACTCTGGAGTCCATCTGGCTACCAGTCAGCCACATACATACCCTGTGATCTTAGGCAAAGACTCCACAACCCTAAACCTCATCAGTCTCCTCATCTGTATGATGGATAACAGCAGTACCCACCACACAGGGTATTGTGAGAATTGATCATATGTAACTGCTTAGCATGGCAACTGATACTGTGAGCACTCAATAAATGAAGTCCTTGTGGTGGTGATAGTGGTTCTGGTAGTTATAGGTCAGCCTTTACAGAAAGCATGTAGCATAGCCATGAAGGCATTTGGGAGAAAAAGAATGCTCTTAAAAAGACTCATAAGAATACACATTCAATATGCAGCATTAATTACTTTTCCCGAACAATTTTACTTTTGCTCTAATGGTTGTTACTGAAAGGTTTTAACAGAAATGAAGAAAAGGTAGTAATAGTTATTGAGTGTCAACTATATACCAGGCACTTACCAGGAACTTTTACTAACTTTAATTGTGTATAATTTCCTCCCTTTTCATTATCTCTATATGAAATGGAAACACTTCCTATGCCTCTTAAGCAAGTGACAAAACCAGGGTCCAGAAATATATAGGTAAAACTACAGTTCCTCCCACCATTCCCCCAAGGGTTAAGATATTCTTGGTCTACCTCAGAAAATCACCCAAAAGCTCCTGATTTAACCCATGGAATGGAGATACTCTAATGCTTTAAATCTTAATTAAATCAAAGACCACTTTATGGAGGAGGAGAAAGATCATAAATTATTGGGGCAGTTATTTCTTAAATAAAATATAGCCAAAATTATTAATTTATGATAAATAACTTTACAGTTAATTAAATGTTAAGTCACGGTGCCAAAGATCCTACAATGCATAATATACTGACCTTGTGTTCGGTGGGATCGAATAATACTCATGGAGCTAATCCAGTCTGGTGATATCTTTGATACTAAGGAGTATAACACCTCAAGGCTAGTGGCATCCACAACGAGGATTTCAGGGTAATGTCCATGGCATAAAAGCCTTCCTTCTCTCTGATTTCCAACAGAGAACTGGTAGAACTAAATTCATGTCAAAAGGAAAGAGGTTTTTAAATGTTCTCTTTTAGTTTAGATACTTGACTAATATGTATTCACCAAGCTTATGATGATATTCTCCTAAATGCACAACTTCTTCAATAATATTTTCAGGTTTTCACTATATGGTGCATAGTATACATATGTTTGTTCATACACATACATCAAGTTATATTAATATATTTAAGTATCTAACAAAAATTATTCTTTTCCTAACATTTTATCCTTGTTTTTGAACTTTTTTGGAGCAGAATGTGACAATTTTTTTTATCCCCCTCTAGCTTCTAAAACAGGACTGTTGAATTAATAAAACAGCTTAATAAAATCAGCCTCAAAAATCAAATCAAAAGAGAAGCTTAGGTGGGTCACAAAAATAATATGAATTTTAAATAAATGGGAACAGGTGAAAGTATAGGCTTATAATTACTAGTTATGACCAAATAAAATTTAGAAGGATGATTAATGTTCATACATATTATAATCGGGGTCTCAGCTTCCTTATATATAAAATGATACATTCCTATTTAATTTGTAAGGGTGTGGGGAGGACAAATGAAACACAATACAAGAAATGCCTACACAGTATTTGCTCAATAAATGTGAGTTCTCTTCCCTTTTCTTCCCCATTAAGAACATAACTGATCACATTTTCTATATAATTCATAATTTTCCCAACACTAATCATAGTAAACAATGAGTAAACTGAAGCACATAGAATTTGACAACTATGAAAAAGTAAGAAAGGATATCAAGAATGTAAGTCAAAAACTACAAATTCCTGTGAAATACTCTACATATTAAGCCAGGCACATGAAATGGACATTTTTTCTGAAGAGTTAGAAAGTCTTAAAATGTGCCCAAGGACCAATTGCATGAGCAACAAAAAGATATGGTCCAAAAAGTACGTCAATTTGTGCCAATCACTAACAGAATCACAAAGGCTTCTGCAAGAAAGAATTCAATTATTTAGAATCTGCAGCAGTCCCCACCTTTTTTGGCACCAGGGATGGGTTTCATGGAAGACAATTTTCCACGCACAGCGCCGGGGTTGGGGGAGTGCTGGGGAGGGTCTCAGGCGGTGATGCACGTACCAGTTCCTAACAGGCCATGGACCAGTACCCAGCCACAGCCCAGGGGTTGGGGATTGGAGAACTAGAGCACTTTCCCAAGTAGTAAAGGGGCTCTAACTTGGACAAGCAGGAGAGCTCAAAACAGCAGAAGCAGCAATTGGCTCACCCTACATCTTTCCCTATCAATGTCCTCTCCCTTCTTAGCTTCCCAACTGGATCATCTTAAGAGGAATATTTTTACCACTCCAATTCTATTCTCCTTCCATTACCTTTCCCCACCATTTTTCATATGAAAATATTGGCTCAATGTTTTAAAAATACTGGGTCAATGTTTTAAAAATATCTTTTAATTAATTGTATAGTTGTAATAATTTGTGCTTGGTCACAGAAATAGATACTAACCTGTATGCCAGTATGTGTGCAGGCTAATTTTGTAAATTCAATACATCTGCCATCATTCACATCCCAGAGGCACATCTCTCTAGAAAACAAAATAATAGCCAGCTTTGAATCTGATTTTTTGTTTTGTTTTGTTTTTTGAGACAGAGTCTCACTTTGTTGCCCAGGCTAGAGTGAGTACCATGGTATCAGCCTAGCTCACAGCAACCTCAAACTCCTGGACTCAAGCAATCCTCCTCCCTCAGCCTCCCGAGTAGCTAGGACTACAGGTATGTGCCACCATGCCCGGCTAATTTTGTCTATATGTATTAGTTGGCCAATGAATTTATTTGTATCTATAGTAGAGACAGGGTCTCACTCTTGCTCAGGCTGGTTTCGAACTCCAGACCTCGAACAATCCACCCTCTCTGGCTTCCCAGAGTGCTAGGATTACAGGCGTGAGCCACCTCGCCGGGCCTGAATCTGATTTTTAAAAGTACTGTTCAACTTTGTCGCAGTGGCTTAAAATTAACCTTCCTTTAAAACTAATATATTTCAGAAAAAGTGGTAGATAGTCATTATTGCTGTTCATCAAAATTTCTAGTCTTCCCATCCACCATCAACCCCCCTCCAGCCTGCTAAGCCCCACCTCAACCCCCAGCCTTTCTGGGCCCATAGTAGGACTGCACTTCCTGTTTCCCTTTTCGTTGGTGTAGTCTTGTAAGCAGTTCTGGGCAGAACTGATGTAAGGCCTTCCAGAACTTTCTTCTATGCCTCTGTTCCAGAGGGTGGCTGCTTCAGATAGTGGGTGCCCCTCCTCACCGTGAACTTAAACATAAGGATAGCAACAAAGCAGAGCAGAGCCCCCAAGTCATACACAAGAGGCAAGTGACAAAAACAAGAAATAAACTTTTAATTTAAACTACTGAGATTTGTCAAGGTAGCTAGAAAATTTAGTGCTGCAAAAAAGAAATAAAAGTTAAAGTCAACTGAATTCCAAACCTCTGCAAATTAAATACAATATTCCAGTTTTGATACTGTATTTATTGCAATTTTGTTGAATGTATATAAAAAAACTTATATAACAAACTAAAGATATAATGTTGAAAATCAGAAATGTCAATATGCCTTGTCTTTTGAAAAAATGAGATTTATTTAACAGAAGAAAATTAGGGTACTAGTGAAAAGTAATGATCCTAATATTACTTGGGTTTTCTTTAAGATGCTAGTTTCCATATCTCACCTTATAGAAAACAATTTTTCAAGGAACACTCAATTTAGAATATGCATTCTAATGTGAATTATCCTTTAATTGACCAAAAGGTACTATATTTTTACCCGATGTTGCCTCTTCTTGTTCCAAAAAATTACACAAGGTTCTCTTTGAGGTAGAGAACAATTTCTTATATAATTCTCTTTAAGTTCCCCAATTCTCTTCAATAGCATATTGTATAAATATATCAATTTTCTAAGCATCAAAATGTTTTAAAAATCCCTCACACTGTACCCCTACAACTCCTGTTCAATAACCTACCTCTCCAAAAGTAAGCTACATTCTGAGACTTAGAAACACAAATAGTTACGTCAGTGTACTAACATACATCAATACAACTGCATGGACTTTTGCATGGCTTCATCTTCCAAATTTACACTGGTCTAGTTCAGTGTTTTTCAGGTTTTTAAGGAAATCTCAAAGTGGTGTGCCAACTCAAGAAAAATACAAGGGGGATTAATGATAATTCTTTAACTTTTACAATATTCTGAGTTTCTCAAGTAACAAGGAAGAAAAAAAGACATAACCATAAATTACAATAAAAGTATTAAAAAAATATTAACAGAGGTAAAATTTACATCCTTAAAACCATATTTCAAATATCTTCCTTTAGGTTTAGATAATGAAAAGCATTTATTTAGAAGATACTCCAGAAGAAAAAAAAAATCCCCCTACTTACAATACACTGGTACTAGTTATAAAGACTTATGAAGAAAAAAAGTAAATAAGAAAATACTTACCCACTTTCAGATGCACTCACAATATACTGTTTGTCACTAGAAGCACAAGCTTTAGATAAACAAGTGATTGAAGCTGTATGACCAAATAACAGGGCACGAGGATTAATCTAGAAATGCAAAAATATGTTGGTGTGAGTACCAAATTTAAAAATTTACCTTTTAATTAGATATCCTGTTAAATATTCCATATAAATATACAGACATAAATTTGAAAAGAATTACTCAGAACACTGAAACCTAAGAACAAAAAATAAGAGCAGCAAAACAGTGAACTTTAATCCATTTAATGCTCACAATCACCTACCCAAGTAGTTCTGAGGTCAAAATTGGACAAAGAGATGACACTACTTGCCCACTATCATACAGAGAGTTAGGATTCAAACCAAGGCAGTCTTAAGCACTAAGCTCTAGCATACTGAGAAACCAGGTTAAGAATTTGAATTAGTATATAAAGCACAGTAATTGGCCTCACTTCTTTTTGAAATAACTTCAGTGATCTGAAAGCAATTATAGAATCTCTGGATTCATATCTCCAAATACGGAAAATAGAAGACAGTACCCTCCCAAATGACAGTATCAATGTTAACTGTCAGGAACTAATAACCTTCACAGACCACTGATTTAGTGACACAGTGCTTAATAGAAAGGCTGGCTTAAAAGACCCACTATTCTAAAAGAGCCTAGCAATCAGCCCCTAAATACCACTTTGTACCAAATGACATGCTGTTGCTTCAGGTTAACTTGAGGATACATTTTAAAATAAATATATAACATATACAAATATTAATAATGTTTCTAACATTTATAAGCTATAAAGAATAAATTGAATAGCCACAAACCCAATACACATTTTAAGAAACAGAATATGACCAATATCTTTAAGTCCCTTCTGTACCCTTCATGGTGTCCATCTCACAAACCACTTATCCCAATATATTAGGAAAGCTAAATTGTTCAAAATTAAATATTTCTTGGGAAGAGTACTGAGATTCTTCTGTGACTCTAGTATGTGATGACCAAAAAATATTTCCAAACAAATTCATCTTGTCCATCAACATGAGACAAACTCATCTTCAGTTTGAGTTTTGCGAACTTAATCATTGTTCGTGGTTGGACTAGACCTAGAAAGTCTTCCCATGTATCCAAAATTTTCTCATACATCCAACCCCAACTCTATATAGAAATTTAGTATTCTTCTACTGGAAAAAATACTCTTGGTTGATCTTTTAATTTCCCCCAAAAAACAAAATTTGTCAATAGTTTGCTTTATTTCTAATGTAAATTAGTTTGCTGGAAAATTCCATTTTCAGTCATAATAAAGTAACTAGAACTGGACTTTACTCCTACCATAAAATCTAGAAAAATGGAAAATATATGAAAAATTATATCTAAATATTGGACAACAGCCAGGGAAGGACTATAAAAAGAAAAGAAATATTGGAGGACTCACAGGTACCAATTTCAGAACTTAATATAAAACAATGGTAATTAAGACAGTGTAATATGACATAAGAATAGACATATAGAACAATGGAGTAGAATTGAGAGTCCAGAATAAAACCCATGCACCTATGGTCAAATGATTTTTGGCAGGAGTGCCAATACCATTCAATAAGGAACAAGCAGACCTTTCAACAAACAGTGCAGGGATCACTTGATAGCCACATGCAAAAGAATGAGGTTAGATCCCTATCTCATACCATATATAAAAATTAATTTATATAGTTCAAAGACCTAGATGTAGGAGGTGATACCATAAAACTCTTATAAAAAAACACAAGGATAAATGTTCATGACCTTAGATTAGGCAATGGTTTCTTAGATATGACAACAAAAGTATAAGCAAACAAAGGAAAAATAGATAAATTATACTTCATCCAAATTAAAATACTTTGTGCTTCAAAGGATACTACCAAGAAAGCGAAGACAGCCCACAGTATGGGGGGAAATATTTGTAAATCATTTATCTGTTATGAAATTTGAATATAGAATACATACACAATTCTTACAAATAAGAAAAATAATTCAATTTTAAAATAGGCAAAGGAAAAGATTTTTAATTTAAAAAAACAGTTTACATGGACAAAGATTCTGAATAGACAGTTCTCACCAGAAAAGATATACAAATGGCCAAAGAGAACATGAAAAGATGTTCAACATCATTAGCAATCAAGTAAATGCAAACCAAAATCACAATGAGATATGACTTTATACCCATTATAGTATAGATAGAATCAAAAAGACAGTAACAACTGTTGACAAAGATGTGAAAAAACTGGAACCCTCATATATTGCTGATAGGAATGTAAAATAGTGCAGTCACTTTGGAAAACAGTCTGGCAGTTCCTCAAATGGTTAAACACAGAGTTACCATTTGATCCGGCAAGATGCCCAGATGTATAACTAAGAGCAATGAGAACATATGTCCACAAAAAAAAACAAACAACAACAAAAAAAACTTGTATACAAATGTTCATAGCAGCATTATTCATAAAGGTCAAAAACAGAAACAACTCAAACATTTGTCAACTGATAACGTCTGATATATTCATAAAATGGAAAATCATTTGGCCATAAAAAGACATAAAGTATTGATACATGCTACAACATGGATGAACCTTGAAAACATTATGCTAAGTGATAAAAGCCAGTCATAAAAACCACATCTGATATGATTTCATTTGTATGATATGTCCAGAATAGGCAAGACTGTAGCAAAAGAAAGTAGATTGGTGGTTGCCTTGGGGGTGTGAGAATATTGTTAAAGGGCACAGAGTTTGTTTTTGAGGTGATAAAAATGTTCTAAAATTGTGGTAATAGTTGTACAACTTTGTGAACATGTTAAAAAACATTGAAGTCAGAACTTTAAAGAGATGAATTATCTGGATTGTGAATTACATCTCAATAAGGCTGTTATCCAAAAAAGGAAATTAAAAAAATCACCTTTCTTGACTCCACATTCCATACCAGCTACCACTCTGTTCCCCTTTACAGAAAATTCCTGGGAAAAGTTGTCAGAGAAGGGAGTTATTGTAATTGCATCAGACCAATCTGGCTCAACTTTATGTAAAAAAGTTATAAGTTGTTTTTCAGTTGCCATGGACCCCCAGATTGAAGGTAATGTGATCTTAGCATGGCCAGATGAAGCAAGTGTGCAACCACAGGTGGAACCTAAGTGCTCTGACCAGACTAAGGTGTGAGGACTGAATTAAGAAGTGGACACAACATGGCAGGATCCAGGATCCAATCAGATCGAGCCCTGGCATCCCCCCATGGCATGGCCCAGTCAGAGCAAGCCTCCTGGCATCACCCCATTGCAAGAATCAATCAGATCACACCTCATTACCTATGCTTATAAAATCTTACCAAGCCTCCAGACCCAGGAGAAAGACTTGAAAGCATTTTCTCCTGTCTCCTTGCCAGCTGACTTGTAGTAAAGCCTCTCTTTTATCAAAGGCTGGTGCCATGGTATTGGCTTTTATGTGCATTGGGTAGTGAGCCTATTGATTGCTTGGTAACATTACAAATATGGAAAGAAGTAAAGAAGATATACCCAGTGATGTTATATTAGAATTGAAGGTATCAGTGAGAATTTGTGTGTGTGTGTGTGTGCGCGCGCGCGCGCGCGCGCATATCCCCAAATCATATTTTCCTAGCTCTGCCCATTGAGAGGCCTAGAAGCAGAGCACATGGAGCACTCCACAGTAGTAAGGAATGACAATAAACACATAGTGATTTCAAATATCAATACAACAAAACTTACACTTTATAAAAAGTTATGCCTTCTTTAAGGCATTTATCATAGAAGCTTTAAATGTTTTAAACTGTTTTGTAATACTTCTTTGGAAACCTCCTTCAGTGTGGGTTATTATCTTTTGAAAACTCTTAAATGTAACGTCTAGATATATTTTTTTTAATTTGTTAAAAGGCAACATATATTAAGCCACTTAGGGCAGATACTATGTTTCAAAATAGCCAAAGCCAGCAGAAGTCAACTCTGATGGAAAATGTAAATAATCAATCTGCATACTACCAACTTTAGTCAAAACATATTTTGTAGAAAATATATTATGAGCCCAAGTGTTATTCTGGGGCTCTGTTATCTTCCAATAAGTAGTTTCTTACACTTAAAATGTACAATAGGCATTTAAAATACTCACTTCCAGTTCCACTGAAAGATCCCAGAGACATATTTGTCCATCGTGGCATCCCGTTACAATTGTGGTTCCGTCATCTGTTAAAAGTACTGCTGAGATGCAATGTGTTGGTGCTTTGCGACCCCAAAGAACGATGGGTAGAACAAGGCTGTTTCCTGCCATTGTGTTTTCAAACCTGAAGATGTTATAAAAATTATGTCAGATATCACAGTGTTTCTCTCTAAAACATGTTATGTATTTTTATATATGAAGCCAAGTTGTATTTCCAATTTGGAAATAAGCATATATTCCTGGTAGTACATTTTAGGTACTTAGATATTTATTATTCCCCCCCAACAAAATGAGAGATTTTTCATAACTACTTCCACATTAAGGTGCTTATAAAATAAGACACAGGTCTTTACCCCTAGGCATTTATAATTTTTAAAATTTACTAATGAAAGGCCAATGACTTTAGTACCTCATATTTATTTAGCACTTTACAGTCTATAAAGCACTTTTATGTACACTATTTCATTTTGATTCTCAAAACAGTCTTTTGAAGTTGGCAGAGTAGAAACTGAGGTGTAAGCTAGGACACAGAACTAACAAGTCATAAAACCCAAATGCAAATTCTGACCTTCTGATCCCAAGTTGTCTGTCTCCATAAAAAAAGACAGGTCAAACATAAAAATTATTCTTGCAAAGTTTAGTATATACAGCCGATACTACTACCACTAGACAATAATTATGAAGAACTGCTTAAGTCCTGGGAATTCTGACCATTATTTGTATATATAAATACAAGTATATATATAATATCAATTATTCTTCACAATGACAAATGAGGTCTCCAAATAGCATTAAGTCTCCAAACCAGTAATAAACACCAATGCCAAAGAAAAACTCTGTACTATTTCACATGGTGCTAAACATTAAAAAAAGTATGTTCAGTGAGAAACTCATTTAACCACATTTACTCCAAACCTATTATCCCTAAAGGTCATGAATGTTTGTTGCGAACTCTGAAACCAGAGGGAAAAAAGAATTCATTTTTAAACTCATTTCTCCATAATAAAAATGTAGCTTCTGGTGAAGGGATTTAAATTTGAGATAATAATCAATTAATGAGTAATGGAGTGTACCTCTTGCAGGATAGCATAAATGTAAGGAAATTATTCCTTCACATAACAAAATTAAAATCCAGTTGGTAAAAAATATTTAAATGTTATAAACTGTGTGGTTAAAGCCCTAAATAATAGGAGTTCTGATAAGTTAGAGAGAAAGAAATACTAGAATAGTCAAAGTGGGCTCCACAGAAGAGAGGACTGCTAGATCTTATTAGACATCAGTGGTCACCTATAGCCTAACAGATGGCCAATCAAATGAACTCATCACTAAAGAGAAAATGAAGCATGTAAAAAACTATGAGTGACACTGGAATGCTTACTAAAAAGAATCTATATTATATCTTTTATTTTTTATTAGAATGCATAGTTTTCTTCAGTTTGTTTCCCCAAAACCTCATCTTTTTTGCTAAAAGTAAAAGGCATAATTTAAAGAAAAAAATTCAAAGTTAACTACCTATTAATAAAACTCTGTCTCATGATAGTTTCATAAACTACCATGACACTAACAATTATTTCATATTCCTATTTGATATTAGAGAATAAAACTAAGCAATAAGCCAATTTTAATAAATTTGGAACAGTGTGTTCTTGGTGAATGACATACCTAACAATGACATTTATAAAAAGAGAATCTGGAAGGAATTTATTTTTCCATGGTGACAACATTCAGTTTTAAATTACATCACCAAAGATGATTTCTGTCAAGTAAGTAAGTATGTATAAAGCATTAAAAAACACACATGCTCCTTAGCTTAAAGAGAACGCAAATAGATAGATTCAGGACTAAGGAGTATATGGCAGAGAATGCCTACATCTACAATCCAATCTGTATTCAAATTACTTTATCTACAAAAGGTCTTTTATAAATTTTTTTCCAAATATGTAAAAAAAAATTCAAATTTTATCTACTGTATGTAATTGTTGTTATGGATTGAATGTTTATGTCCTTCCAAAATTCACATATTGAAGCACTAAACCACCCTTGTGACTATATTTGGACATAAGGCCTGTGAGAAGATGATAAAGGTTAAATGTGGTCATAATGGTAGGACTCTACTGGGATAGGACTGGTGCCCTTACTAAGAAGGGGAAGAGAAAGAAGAGCTCTCTCCCTCTCTACAATCGTGAGCACACAGTGAGAAGGCGGCCGTCTGCAAGCCAGGGAGAGAGCCCTCACAAGAAATAAACCCAGCTGACCTTGATCTGGGACTTCAAGCCTCCAGAACTTTGAGAAAATAAATTTCTGCTGTTTAAGCCACCCAGATTGTGGTATGTTGTACAGCAGCCTGAACAGACTAAAACAGCTATTATATTGATATCTCTTTGGTCTCTTTAGTTCCAGAAAAATCCTACCTCATTTTTTTCATATTAATTTTAAGAATGAAACCAAACCAATTGCTTGTAGAATGGTCTACATCTTAGATTTTTCTATTTTTTTTTTTAATGTCATTAACCTTTTTCCTCCATCACTTGTTTTCCTATAAACTGGAATTTGGATATAAAGCCATCATTTGGCTCAAGTCAACATTTTTGGAAAGAATACTCCATAGGTGATTTTGTATACGTCACACTGCATCACCACAGGAAGCATGTAATGGCACATTGTCCTACTATCAATAATGCTACCTCTGACCATTTGATTAAGGCAGTGACTACCAGATTATTTCCAATTTAACCCATCAATGACCTATGGAGAAATACTCAGATAAAAATCATCCTGTTCAGTAATATCCCATGTAATACTGGTAAATATCACATGTGATTTCTAAAAGCTATAAAACAGTTAAGATTATATGTGAAAAATCTAGTATCTGATCAATGTTAATTTTTCCACATTGTTTTCTAACTCTCAAATGCAAACGCAAGACGTATTTTATCCTAGGAACACAGGCACTGTCACAGGAGACTCAATATCTTCTCAATCTGTGTACTTCTTGTGCCCAGGCAGGCCCCCTGTGACTTGCAGACAAAAATAAACTCAAATTTTCTCTCATGAGAACAGGTACACATGAACCAGAGCAGGCCTCATCTACCTACCAACCAATGGGGAATATGAGAAGCAAGGACTAAACCCTAAATAGCTAAATGTACTTGCCACAGCTGCAATGAAAGAAGAAAGACAAATTTGTAGAGGTTTATGCAAATTTTCAGAGAACATTCCTACATCATTTGTTGAAAGAGCCTGTCCAAGTCAAGATCACAGTGTGATGGACGTGATTGTTAAGATTATGAATGTTCTTCTGTGCTTGTGCCTTTGCCACCAATTTATTGAAGACTTGAAAAAAACTGAAGCAGATATTGTAGACTTTGTTTGCTGTGGTGCAATAAGATAGCTAGGTCATAAAAATGCACTAAAGAAATTACTCAGCTGGTTCCTTATAACAAAGGGGTCTGGAATTTATGAGTTGTAAGGGACACAACCTTGTGAACACTTAAGCAGCTGACAAGACTATACTTTCTTATTTGAGTGGCAAGAAATATACTGTATCCTCAATGAACCTGGCATTTTAGGGCTGCTTTGTTAAAGAAGTTCCGATATTTAGTTTTGAGAGAACATGTGGAATGAGCAGATGGCAACAGGAGACTACACTTATTTCTTAATGCTAAAACAGCTCTGAGCATAAGAGAAACAGGTTTTGAAGAACTGTGTAGCTATCTGGTCAAAAATAAATCACAATTTTAACAGTGATTCATAGATTTTGAGGCATATAAATCATGTTTTAAATTTCTGCAGCTGCCATTAAGGATGTCTAAACCATTCTACTTATGCTCTATTCATCACCAACCTACATCAATTTCATGAGTCACGGACAAAGCTAAAAACAAACTATGCCCACCAAATCTTTACTTTTTAGAGGAAAGAGATTCCATTCGGTAGAATCAACTTCGACTTTCTCCTGCCACTCATCTCTATCCTCACTTGCAACTCCAATCATTCCAACTTCTTTCCCTCACATTGCCATCAAAACTCTAAAATGAACACTGAAATTACTCATTGTATACAAAGTGAATTAAACTACCCAGAAGAAGAAGCAGCAAACATGTTTCCCCCAATTAGAAGTTGAATTGCCACAATATTCTGGGAATCAGTAAGATATGCTGGGTAATTGTGAAGGTGTCTTGGGAAGAACCCAGCTCCCCCATTTCCTAGCTCTAAGTTATGAGAGAATATGTGACCACTCCAAGTTAGAGTGTCCTCATTTATAGTATTACTCTCCTTATCTACTACAGAAAAGTTCCCTGCATGTCACAAAAACTGTTCTTGACAAGGTCACAAATGACCTCATCATTGCTAAATCTAATGTCAAACCCTGAACCTCATCTTACCTGACTGACCTACCAGCAGCATTTCACATAGTTCATATTCCCTCCTTGAAACTTCTTTACCTGGCCTCCAACTCTTCATACTTTCCTGACTTTGTTTCTACTTCTCTGGCTTTAGTTTTTTATGTGTTTTTTTATGTTTGTTCGTTTGTTTGCTTTTTAATCTTTAAATGTTGACATACCTAGAACATAATGCTTGAACTTTCCTCTGGCAACACTCCCTCCCTCAATGATCTTATCAAGTCTCACAGTATAATAATATTTTATTATAAATGCCATCTCCAGGTTGAGAATCTCTTATCTGAAAGGCTTGGGACCAAAGTGTTTTGGATTTTAGATTGTTTTAAATGTTGGAATATTTGCATTGTACTTATAGGTTGAGCATCCCTAATCCAAAATATTCGAAATCTGAAATGCTCCAATGAGCATTTCCTGTGGGCATCAGGTCAGTTCTCAAAAAGTTTTGGATTTTTGGAGTATTTTAGATTTTGGATTTTACACTGACAATTCCCCAATTTATAGCGTGAGACTTACATATTCAGCTTCCCACTCGACATCTCCCTTTGGGTAGCTAATAAATAAACTTCTCAGAGTTGGTATGTCTTAAAAGTAAGCCCCTGGTCTTCCCCAAACCTGCCCTTCCCACAATCATTCCCATCTCGGTTAATGGCAACTCCATTTTTATAGCTCCACAGACCAAAACTCTAGAATTACCGTTAAGTCCTTCTCACACACACATTCC